GACTTTATCAAACCAATACCCTGTGCTGCTCCAGATCTGTTAGACAGTACAGTGGGTATGAGAATATTAATTTCCATCTGTAATTACATTCTTTCTTCTTTCAACCCTATGTTCTATCTTAGAAGGAAGTTGTCCACATAACCTGTGTCATTTAATGCCTTCATCCATGCAAAAATAGTGTGATGAAATGATATTGTAAAATCCTCAGCCCGGAAGGATGTGTAGACCTCATGGAACAGAATCAAAATGTATTCAACTTTATGTTATCTGTGATGGGAATGTTAAACTTATATGAATCCGCCTTTTATTTTAGTATTGATCAATAAATCTCTGTGTGATGACAGAAATATCTTAACTGTCTGCTCTGTCCATTATGGCAACAATCAGCTACACAGTGACCAAGCATATCAACATAAACATGGTGTAACCAGTGAATTAAATCTCTAATTTTACTTCATTTTGCTAAATATGAATTTAACATTATATATCACATCAGAAACCATGAATACATAATATATCCATAAATATATGTACATTTTTATGTGCATGATATTAAATTATTGTGTTTATTAATGGACCTGGTCATTATAAATTATATTTAATTTAAAACAGAGATAACTGAATTAAAAAGAAAGACATTATTGAGTAAAAAAGGGTTTTTTTGCCCCGATTAAGATATACTCTTTACATCTAAGGTGGTGGTTTCTAATGTTGTCAGAACTGAGTGACAGAAGAATTCAACTTCAAATATCAAAGTCAGAAATAACACCTGCCCAAAGTGCTAAAATTCTATCAATGCCTATAGGACTTATCTATGGCCACTGGGGACTGATAACTATTTGCCTAGACTATAGTCCAAAAAAATATCAAGCATGGCAAGGGTGGGAAGATACAGTCTAGCCTTCTGAAAGCTTAGATAAAATTCTAGAAACCATCAAACCAAAACAGCAATTGCAGCTGACTATTGTGGAATGACTGAGTGACCATTTGCAGTGCTCCTGTCTTTTTGTTGGATAAATAATTATCACCAGGCTTTACTGGAGTGGTAGAGGAATATATTAATTGGAAATAATTTGAGGATCATTTAAAATTCTGGGTAGTTTTATTCCTTTATGCATCTCCACTTCCCCCTGTTCAGTACAGATATAGATAGTCATGAATACAGTCTCTTCTATTGAGACTTTTGAGGAGGAACAGATTCAGAAAGGCTAAGATTATTTTTTAAAAAGTCCATTTACGTAGGATTTTACTAGGGTCTTAGCTAATACTGCACAGATACAATTGTAAAATGTATTCCTATAGGAAAATTTTGTGAAAAGAAAAAAGTGGCTAAGTTATAGTAGATAAGCACAAACGCACAAACACACGTGCACACACACACACACACACACACACACAGAGAGAGAGAGAGAGAGAGAGAGAGAGAGAGAATGAGAGAGAGAGAAAGAAAGAGAGAGAGAGAATGAGAGAGAGAGATAGAAAGAGAGAGAGAGAGAATGAGAGAAAGAGTGTGTGTTGAAGTTTAGCAAGGATGTGATTTTTATCTTTTCCTACACAGCATCGCTCCTCGAGGATCTGCAGATGTACTCTGCAGCCTTACATAAACCAGTACTGCCTTATCATCCTTTAATTAAATTCTTTCAGCTTTTGCTGGTGCCAAGTAACCCTCAACCCACAGCTACTTAGAAACTATTTAATCTCATTACTTTCCCAATAAAATAATTTCTTCATGCCCAGTAAATGTTCTTGCAAAATACAGCCACCCATTTGATTTTCACCAGCTATAATTGCCTAAAGCTTTTCTTTAACTTTTCTGACCTAAATTGCCTTTTGGCATCTCTTAGCATTGGTCTATTTTTCCTCTAGGTCAGATACAGTCAAGTTTCTTCAGAGGGAATCTTGCAGTAATTATCTGAAAAACAACTATTCTGTTCAATTGCCACATCCATCCCTCCCAGCCCCAATGTTACTTCCTCGAAGTAAATGAGTCTACACAACTCCAACTCCATTTTCATCTACTATACCTTTAAGCTGTCTGTTCTGTATATTATTTACATTTTCTTCAGTAGTTCTAATTGCCAACTCTCTCTCAAAAAGGGTTGTGTGGTTAATTGAATAAAATATTCTAGGAATAATTTGATAATATCGATAGTGATGTTGTCTAGAGAATCATTAGCCTTGGGATGACACAGAAATGGTACCTTGTTTATCTCAGTATCTCTGAACATAATAGTATTGTATGACTAATAAACAATAATTCGAAGAATAGCAGCTACTACTTGTCTAATTCACTGAAAAAGCGATAATGAGTACTCTACCTATATTCCAAAATAGCCCCCATCACTGTATCAGTTTAGCCCAGAGACCCACCAGCTCACTGCCTCCTCCATTCTAGAATTACTGATGTATTATAGGTGATGCTGACCTTGTAGTAGTCATGACCTAGACAGTCCATACTGACCACTTAAAATTCTCAAAATGGATTTTAAGGTTTGTTCTAAGTATCATTTGTTTAACTTAAAGAATTATTTTATCCTGCCGACATTATTTAATTTACCAGAATATTGTATTTTACTCTTTTCATTATATCCATAAGCTTATTATAATGCATGGTAAGTAATTAGTGTCCAATGAGTGCTTAATGAAGAAAGTAATTATTGAATGAATGAATGGATGCATGGATGGATGGATGGATGAATGAATTCATTTTTTATGTTCCTTACTCTAGGCATTCTAGACAAAGATTATGCTTTCTTTATGAAGCCAGCATATTTGTTTTTGACATGCTGATAGATCATCATAATTTAACAACAGTATTGGGACCATTTGTGATCTGAGAGATGAGAAAGGATAGGAGGAAAAATGATGAGGGAGAGAGAGAGAAGGAATCATGAATAGAAGAAGAAAAAGAGTCTGATGATTCCCTGGGCTACCAAAGGAAACAATTGACAAAGGTAAATATTACTGAGGTGTCAGGCATCATCTATTAACCTCTTGTTTATGGGATAGAACTTGAATACATTCAGCAAAGTGTAAAAACAAAAAGATTTTCACATCACTCGCACTGTTAAAATCGCATCATACTTGATTTTCTACAATGATGGTTAGAAGTCTGGATAGATCTATAATAAGTACGAGTTCATTTTAGAACAGACAATTTAGTATGGGATATTAAGAAAAGGGATGATTTAATCTAGTAATCTAATATCAGAGTCTTTCCCAAGACATATCAACTATCTATGATCCCACCAGCATGTTAATTCTGCGTCTTAGAGGCCAAAGTATACTAGAGAGATACCATTTTTACGTATTTGATTCTGTTTCCCTGGGTATAAAGACAGAAATATTACCAACTATTTCATTTCACTGGGCAACTAAAAATAGAAATGAAAAATGTAAATTGAAATAATGTATTGTGTAAATTTAAAAATTGTCATTTTCAAGTTGTAATTTAACTCTTGAGTGCTGCTAGTTTCTGCTGATATTCCTTTTTAAAAAAAATAAACCAGGGTTTTTGCTATTTTTATTTTTTTGAGAGGAAAACAAAGAACTTGAAGCAAGATCACTATGATTTCTCTATCCATGAAAAAGTACGATTCTTTATGAGTCCAAAAATTTTACCTCCAATAACATAATCATAATGAAATAAAGTGGCACCCAGAAGCAAACTTTTTTTAAAGAAACCCTCCCACTGAGCATCGGAAACCACCTAAGAATTTGGTTCTTGAGAAATATTGTACCATAAGTTAAGCACATGTAACAAGCAATGCCAATGATATTTACATAAAACTAATCACTGAAATCCTATAGGACAGCTAATTTAACTAGTTTTATAATGCAAAGAACTAATTTGGAAATAATGATGAGTTAGAATATAGCATGCAATTAGTTTCTTTATGAGTGTGTGTAAATTTAATTACCCCTAGAAGCTGTCTTTTTTAAATGAGCAAAAATATGCACAAAGTTTCATATATGCTCTATGTCTGCTCAGAGCAGTGATTTGGACTCATGTTGCCTGCCAGAGCTAACATTTTTCTCAAAGGCAGAAAACATCTCACAGTCCAGCTACTTGCTGTACTGAACACTGAGTTAAAATTGTCTATTTCTAACTATGGACTGGGATAAGATACAAAAGTGTTCCAAAGCATTGGTGGAAAAAAGCAGACTCAGGCTTCTCCTTTCTTTTAAACCAGCTCTTTGTGATGTCTGGAATGCAGAATGATTACAGAATCTTTTAACCCCTCCTCTCCCAGCAGGGCAGATGACTAATTCATTGTCATGAAATCCATGGTGCCAAAAAGCAAACACATTACAAAACAAGTCAGCATCATAAATAAAATAAGCATACTTACCTAAAGGCTCACACACACATGCTTGTGAGAGCCCTCATACACACACACACACACACACACACACACACACACACACACCCATACACACAGTCTTGCTTACTGTATGGCCTTTGGCCTTCTGCAAGAAGCTAAGTTTCCAACACTGACAATCCTGCTTCAAAACAAAAACAAGCAAACAAAATCTACAGTCTGACCTTCCTAATGCAGTCAGTCTTCATGGCCACATTCCACGTTCACATATCAACTATAACTCATAACATTTATGAGTTTCAAGGACAACTGGGACATTTTATCACATGCTGTCACCTTCACATTTTTTCCCTCAGGTTTATCTTAACCCTTTGCACCAATTTCATACCAAATTAAGTACCTGAACAGCCTATGATTTCCTTCCAGGGTATTAGTACTGTTTTTATTGACAAATCACACTTTTCACTAGATATTTTCCCCAGGGTTGAGAGATTGAAGTAAGAAGGTGGCAGCATCAAGGTGGGGAGAAACTGTCAATGTTTGCCTGGAACAAATTTCAAACACACCTCTTGCAATTTTGCCAAGACCATTGATTGAGGCAAGATCCTGCTTAGCAGGCCTGTGGCTAAGGTGAGCCTCAAAACAGAATCCAGCCCAGCTGGATCCACAGACACTTACAGCTTTCAATCTCCAACGTGCAGTTTTGTTCATCCAATGGATACCGCCTTAGGTCCATCATACAGGCAGCCGTAGTTGTGATTCTAGAAGAGAAATGACAGTGTGAGTGTTTAGTGCTTATAGCAAAGTGCAGAAGAGAAAAAACAAAAACAAAAACAAGAAACAAAAAAAATAGCTCTCTTAGAGACTGAATCCTGGCCTAAGCATACACAAAGGGAGTGATCATCTTTTGGAAACCATTTTCCCTCACAATCTTCTTCTGGCTTCTGAAGGGAGTGGATTATATAAGTATCCAATGGGTTACTAATGACTTGAACAGAAATCACCTAGATGTGTTTCAAAGGCAATTCTTTCAAGTCTCCAGAATATCTCTGGGGTGAGGTTCCTTTAGTTGTAGTTCAGGTGACCAGGGGTGGTGACAAAACATTCCAATGATTCTCACATTTGCTTTACTCCATCCTTTTTCGAGACGTTAAAGTCTAATCTTCTACCAAGTTTACTTTGGATCCGTCATTTTTCATGCTTAAAAATCACACAGTACAGTGTGTCATTGACATACAGCCCACATTGGCCTATCTATGCCCGATCATTTTGTCCTAAGTATTCTGATGTTCTCTTGGCTACTCAGAAAAAGAACGAAGAATGGAAGTTCATATTTTTAGATTTGACCAACCTACTTTTGCTCAATTGTGAGAAGCTCAGAGCTCTGCTAGAAATGGAAAAATGAGAGAGAGCTCTATTCTGGAGGAAATGGTCTAGACTATACTTTCCAAGCTACACCTATATTGTGTGGAACCAAACCAAGAATTCACGTAGCCTCATTCTGGGAATATACTTGGGTGAATCTGACAACCTGAGATGTAGACTGGGAATATGTAATTGGTTATTCATAATGATGTTTCTTAATTTGAGTTTACTTTAGTACAAAATGCTTCCCAGAGCAGGTTTCTAGCTGATTTCTTCCTTCATTTAGTGAGTCCTGCAGATCACTCTGCCTCAATTGTCTACTATCCCACTTTCTCCTGAGTCTGTCCCCATTGGTTCTCCTACAAGTTAGTGCAGGAGCTTGGCCTCAGACCTTTCCATCTGTGTCCCTGATTCTGTCATCCACACAAAAACATAAAGTACATCTCATCTGTTAAAAATATACTGGCTATTCTAAGAGAACTCAAACTCTGACTTTGGCAGACTCATGCATTATGTTTTTCTTCTTTCCCACTAGCCTCTCCTATTGTGTTTTCTCACAATGCCTTTCCACCTACACCTTCGTTCTCTATGTCTGTAACATGCATTCCCCCTGTTCCCATCCCCTTTTCTGTCACTCAAATCCTTTCCCCTCAGAAAAGTTCCTCCTGAGCAGCCTATCCAGTGTGACTGTCTTAACTTATGCTCCATCTTAGCTTTCTGTTCACTGCCTTCAAGCAATTACCACAATCTGGAATTAGCTTGCTAATTATTTTCTCAGAAGACTCTGGTATTTTTTTCAATACAATTTAAGCTGCTTATGGCCATAGACTCTGTTCAATTCAGTGCAAAAGCATTCAATAAATATCCACTGAATGAGAAAAAAACATTAATTTATAATAAGGCAAGCAGTTGGATTTGCTCATTATAAGTCTTTGCATTTGGAAGAGTATTTTATTGCTTTATTTCTGTTTTGACTGAAAATGGTACTGTGTCTTAGGTTAGAGATGTTCCTTTTGTAGGTTGAACAATAAATGGAATTTAATCAATTTAAATTACATGAAGAACATCATTTTCAAGCTATTTTATCAATTTCACTGTTTAGGCTTTCAGTGAGATTTATGTTGTACTTAAATTCTACAAATTACATTTAAATGAATATTCACATTTAATATTCTCATAACATGGTAGTTGGATGGATTTTTTCTTCCTTGGCCCACTGTTTCCTCTTAAAATTCTGTGTGACTTTATTGATTGATACACTCTGAATTGCCTCTAACCTACAGATGACAAAAGGAAATGAAATTTAGGAAATGGTAGACACACCATACCCCAATGCTGCTGTGTAAAATGGTTGAATGGATTCCTCTACCCTGACACTAGGAGAAATTACTTACTTAGTCTGATAAACCAATATAAAAGACAAGACTGTTAGAGGGACATAACTCTAAATTCAAAAAAGTGAGAGAAACAAGTACTAAAAGCCATCTGCGTAATTGAGGTGAAGTTTACAATTAATGCTACATCTTGTAGTTCACAACTCGGCGGATACATATGTATAGCAATTAATAATCATGAACTATACTGTATACACTAAGACAAACAAATCCACTGATGCTCTTACAGAAGGAATGTATTTTCTTCATGTTCTAAAATTAAAGTGAAAGGAGGGGTGACTGACACTGTGACCCTGTTAGTAGTATGTTCACCTAGGGTGTATGAAGCCCTGAGTTCAATCCCAAGTACCATATAAAACAGGACTTGTAGCTGGAGAATCAGAAGTTTAAGATCAACTATAGTAAGTTTGAGGACAGATTGGGGTACACAAGGTATTGCCAAACAAGAACAGCAGGAACAGCAAAGACGAAAACAAGAAAAGTATTTTTCTTATAATATTCATACTATCTATTATTTGTTTGTTTTATTTTACTTATTTTTTAACATTATAACTCAGAAATCTAGTAGATCCTATGGATATTTAATATTTAATGTTTACAGTTTGGGTCTTCTATTGTAGTAAATTCAAAACTCTGGGACTAAAACTATCCATTTTAAATCTTGATAATGTCTAGAAAGACTAGTCGCCCCTCTGATAATTTACTGGCATTCTATGCCTACTGGAAATACTTGCCAACCAAGTTGTCTGTGGGATTGCAAATGGAAGGGCTATGTAACTTCAACAGTGCTTTGCAACTTTTGTATTGGTCTACAATGAGTAGATATCAAGACAACTCATTTTACCACACTTCATTGAAAAGTAAAAAAGTACTTGCTTGCCCAAATGAAGAAATGTAAATGCCCACGTGTGTCCATTCTCAGTAAGGCATAGTCACAACTATGAATATAATAGTAACACCATGTAAATATATAACATTGCTACATATATGTGTATATATCATAAACCTAGATATTTCCCAAGTGCCCACAGGATTCAGAAATCACATATTTTGTCTTAATTTGTATTTAAAAGACATGTTCCTGACACATGGCCACTAACCCACAATTAAAATAATAATAATAAATCACCAAACAAAACAGAGAAGTACAATCCAATGTAAGCACTAATTGACAAATTAGGAATTTTGAGGTGATGCTTACTAAGGGCCAAATATATTTCATCCTAGAACTCTTACATAAATTAAATAATTAAAATCATTTTAGGGAAGAAAGTGCCCTGTACTGAATCTCATTCAGAAAAGGCCAGTGGCAAGCATCTATGCCTGTTTTATTTGTAATAGGGCTGAAGTTCCACAGCAATGCAAAAGATACAGCTTCAGCTCTAAGGAATATTCTTAGCACTATTAGTGAGCCTTAAATCACCGAATAGTTTTACTAGATTTCTTTGAACAGAGGCTTACAATCAGTTATATAAATGCCCTTGTTAAAGATAGCAAATGCCCTTGTTAAAGATAGCAAGATGCAGAAGATAAGAGAATTTTCTGTGAGATTGTGTCTCCTAGTAATTAATATCAGAAGCTACATCCATAAATTCTCATCAACATGACTCTCAAAGCATGAGTGGAACAAAGTTGACACTGATAGACATGCCAAATTGGACAAAAAAAAAAAAAAAAAGAAACCTTGAGGCTTCAACCCTACACAAAGGACTACAGACAGCTAAGAAATAGTGAGAAGAAAGAACAAATTTTCCCAGGGTAAAAGCACACCTGTTGGTTATCTAACACCAAGCTTGAAAGTCTACATAAATAGTATTATGCAGACTAGCTTACTTTTAAGACTTAACAATATGGAGACAGTCTTAGTATTTAGTCAAACCAGTCAGTTCCCCTTCAGAATGCACCTTCCTTATGAGTGGAGAGCCTCCAATAGTCTAATTGGTAACACTTTCAACAGAGTTGAACTCTGTTCATGAATGAAAGTTTTACTTAGAAATGCCTATATTTTATTTGGAGCAAGAGATTGTGGATAAACTTTTCTCTACTTACTCACTAGCTATTATTACTCTATAATGCCTTGTATCATGAATATTAGCATAAAGAGAAAAATCCTAAACCAAATATCTAGCACTGCTTAAGGAGTCACTAATGGCATTCATAAATCAAGAAATACAAAGGCTAACCCAACATTTTCTATCAAAGCTATTCTCTACATTTTTGTAGTTTTAGAGTGCACAAATATCAATCAAAACATGAGTCTAGCTAAAGATGATTGCTAAGCAAAAGGAAATATTGCTTTTCCAGATTCAAGACGAAACACTTGGAATCACAGTATTTGTGAGCAATCTTACACCTGGCATTAGACTCTTTAGGAGATGATTTGGAAGTTTAAATCATGATCACGTATATACAGCCTATGAGAATCTGGGTGAGGTTTCAAACAGAGATGGTAAACACATGAATTAAGTGACTTTAACATAACTCTGAATTCTTTAATAGATGATGTTATACTTATTCATCAAGAAAATTTGTTTTTATCCATATCATTGTTTGCTTAAAATATCAAATGTGCTATCTTGAACTATGTTTTGTACCCAGTGTTCTAATGCATGCTGTGGTTTTGTTTGGTCAACTAATACATTTACTCAAAACTACAACCAATTATAATTGCAAGAGGAAAAGAAGATCTTCTGGTTTTGATAGCCAAAATACCCACAGGAAAATGAATAATTTTAATTCAGGGAGATGGAGAGATGGTTCAGAAGTTAAATATGCAGGCTGATCTTGCCAAGGACCAGAGTTAGTTCCTAGCAGGCATGTCGAGTAGCTCACAACTGTCTGTGGCTTTAGATCCAGGGTTCCAATGCCCTCTTTTGGCTTCTGTAGGCTTTGCACTTATGGGCATAAACATACACAAACACACAGAGACACACAGGCACACACATACACACACAGAAAGAAAGAGAGAGAGAGAGAGAGAGAGAGAGAGAGAGAGAGAGAGA